CGACTCTGCATTCATAGCAGCTGGACCCAAATTCATATCCTACATGTACAGGGAATTTAAAGCAACCAATCACAGTGAGAAACATGATGACGTTGTCCTGGCACCCGCAAAGTTCTTCATGCCAACATTTGACAATGACATCATGAGTAATCTGTATCATTTTTGTACTCAGGCAAAACGAAACAGATTCCAGAATGAAATGTGCAATAAACTTAAGGCCAGAAGTTTTAGTAACGACATCCCTAGTATGGCCTTTTTGAATCATTTGTGGGAACACTCATATAAGAAATCATATGTGAAAATGATAAATATTTTTGATATCATTCCAAACATTGTGAATACAAGTGAACTTTTGTCATGATCTCAATCCTAATTACATAGATCATTCACTGAGAGTTTTAAATCCTTTTATATGAATATCACCTTTCATTCCTTAAAGAGACAGCAAAGAATAGGGACTGCGTTATTTTGGATGCAATCTTCAACAAATGTTAAATGTTGCTATTTAAAGAATAGAGATATCTGTTCAAGTATGGAATTTGTTGAAGACTTGAGATGCAGCAATGTCCAAATTCATTTAGGTTAACCAAGTTTGATATTATACTAAGATCAAATGAAGGATTATTATGAACATTTTTGAAAATCAGAAAAAGGCATGACTATGGAATGTTGCGAGCAAGAATACTGTATAATCGTCATAAATGTTTTGAAAGTTACGCTCAACTTATTTCATAGTCTCCAATTTTTGTGGATGGTGTTTGCCTGTCGGCATTTAGTATTCGACATCTGTAACAAATGGTAGGTGGTGACATTTTGCACGTTAATGCCTTGTCTAGTCTTTGTTGTTGTTCCTTAATATTGTGCCATGAATCTATACAGGTTTGCACCTCTGAACATTATGTTTTTGGTAGATGGAAAACAAATAAAACTTATGTTCAATTCAGAGACATTGTACTTTTGTCAGTTTCTTCTTCTTACATAACAGCATAAAACTATACATAAATCAAAATGATTATATTTACAGTCAACTTCTTGACTAATAATAATTTATTGCCATAGAAACTATAACTATACATGAACATATGTTGAATTATTATGTTACCATAGCAACCACCATTAATAATTACCATAGCAATGTAATAAACAGTGACATAGGAATCATTAAGGCAAATATAAACATGCGTAGAGTTTATAAAATCTGGGTATATTTTAACACATGGTTGAAACAATCATATATCAAATTAATGCTCCGTAACAATTACTATTTTAATCATTAAACTGCCGGACACAGCTTATTTTGGTTAAGACCTGAGTCGATGTGCATTGGCCAATTTAGTGATTCCTATCCCACTGTTATTCTACTGCATAGCAATGCACATGTTAAACTTGCATATTCACAGCGCTTCAAACTGTCTTCTAAGTTTTGGTTCATTATACATCCACAACATGTGTTAGTCTCATTAAGCATAACACCAACAGCGATACCACCAAGTTGTGTATCTAAACAAATAAATAATATACAAGTTATTACTAGATAAATCAGCTGTTGTTAACATATTATACCATATGTACATTCAGATATACCTTATGTAGAGTCAGATATACCATATGTAGAGTCAGACATACCATATGTACATTCAGATATACCATATGTACATTCAGATATACCATATGTACATTCGGATATACCTTATGTAGTCAGATATACCATATGTAGAATCAAATATACCATATGTAGAGTCAGACATACCATATGTACATTCAGATATACCATATGTACATTCAGATATACCATATGTACATTCAGATATACCATATGTACATTCAGATATACCATAAGTAGAGTCAGATATACCATATGTACATTCAGATACACCTTCGTCCAGTATACTCAAAAATACCATGTATAGAATTGATTGTTCTAAGCTTATACATGTATTGTTACTCCTTAAAATTATTTTCATAAGCCGTTTGCAGTTTCTTTTAATTTGATCATTCTTGTATTGTCATAATTGTAAATGCAAACATAAATATGTACATGTATGTGTGACAATGAACCTTGCATTTGTACAGCCGTCAGATCACTTATTCCAGGAGCCAATATATAAAATAATAGCAATGCTAATGGCACACAGAACATCATATTTAATATGTCAACTCATGAAGAAATCCATAACTTTTAGTGGTACAAGTACATGCACATTGTAAATATATGGCACCAACTGAAGTGTACACACTCAGATTAGTGTACTGTTATATGTACATAACAGACAGAAGGGCGCGATGACCCAACTTCCATGTACATGTATCATTGTATACATGGTATACACATATAACTGTTTGTAAGAATTCCTAGAGCTCAATTTGCCTCCAAGACAACTTAGTGCAAAACAAATTATAGAATTTTTTATCATAGAATCCTGCCAATTTAAAATGTAATAGTAAAGTACAGTAAAAAACAGTACGATACAGTTTAGTACAGTAAAGTACAGTACAGTACAGTACAGTATTGAAATCATTACCTGTTTGAAAATGACACCCGTGTATGAATCCCCTTATAAAATGTTTTTCATTTACTTTCCCTAAACATTTCTCTGTAATTATGTGGTTTTACTGTTCAAGTTACATTCATGCACATCAAGTGAATAAGGCAATGATACTGATAGATAGCTATACTAACGTATAGCTGAATATGACTGGAAACCCTATTCAACGAGTAGAGCACTATATACATGTACACATATTGGCAAAACTTATTATATACATTGCACTACAAGTCTAAATAACAGAAAATGACTTGGTCAAACGAGAAATTTGATCTTTATCTATACATGTACTTGTTTTTAATATTTAATAACAAAAATAATGTTCAGGAACAGAAAATAATTCTAAAATCAGAGGATGGTTAATTTAAAAGTTTTTGCACCATGAGTTAGAATATAAATGCGAGGAATATTTCATTTTAATCCATGACTGTTCAAAAATAAACTAACATACTGAGCCTCATCACATCTTGGGAAAGACTGATTTGAGATTCGAAATAGTTGTTCAATATTTTATACAATGTTGAGTCTAGAACATTTACGTACTAAACCAATACATTTTCATCTTACATAAATTCACAATACACAGAAATAACTCTATGGCATGTCAAAACACAAGTAACATGTCTAGGTTCTCAATACCAGAATGCTAAGCAATGGAGGAATCCACAATCCAATGATGCATCATTTTATCTAGACCACCACAGATGATTTGCAATGCCATACAAATGTCCCTATGAATTTTGTGATTTCTTCTATATTACAATTTCAGACACTAATATGTCCATCCTAGTTTAATATTTACAATATTTACACAATTTCCTAATAAAAGCATGAACTTGAAAGAGAACAATATAAGGGCCTCATAAATTCATTGTCTGTTTAGCAGTGCCTGTCCTAAGAAATTCCAAAAGCTCCCTTATTGAAACTATTTTGTTTTTCAAAAAGTTTTTTAATTTGACATATTCAATTCTTAAATAGAAAATAACAATTAAAAACTTCATCTCATGGTTAGCATTTTCAATAAAATAGTCTACTAAACTGACATTTATAATTGACCCATAGAGACCAAACCTGATTATGCACAACAAAATGTGTGAAGCACCATGGAAACAAAATTGTTGTCTCAATCCCATACTCCTCAGCTTGTAATCTTTATAATGCATTGCATTATAGGAATAGGAGTAACAACTGTAAATTTGATTTTTGAGACCACAAAATTCTCTCCTAGACATATCTAGCCAATTTTCAAGGTCTTATCTAAAAGATGATGAAAATTTGCTTTGAAACTTGAACTTTGATAACTTCTGCCTATAATGTGTTGTAAATACTTATGCCTTGGTCACATTTGCTCCGATTTTCACTACGGCGCCTGGAAGATTGAGTATTTTGTTCAAAATTGAATACAAATTTGAACAAAACACTCAATCGAATGGGCGCCGGCCGATGGATCTGAGCAAATGTGACCCAGGCATTACAATTGAAGCACTTACAATGAGGTACATACTAGCAAGCCATACATAAATTTCAGTATAAATTATTTTTGGCCTTTTAGTTAAACTAATATTACACTATTAACAAATGTAGAACAGTACAACATTATACATCTTCATGATTGACTAAAGTATGAGAAATAAATATATAAAATACATTTTTGGGCAATGTTTTGGGCGATGAGAAACCATCCTTATTTTTGGAATGTGTTTTAAAAACTGATGTTTGTGAGACATTTTGATTCATTCTGAACACCTTCCTAAAATGAGACTGGGATCACTTGCCCTGTATTTTAATAAATATGTTGTAGTTTTATAGCTGATGCCAAAATGACCATTTGGGTACTACTAGACACCTTATATAAAACACAGTAGCGGTACACCAAGCGTAATATACTCAATGCTGCATGACTTTTACACCAAGGTGTTAAATGTGAACCATGCACAATGTAGCAAAACTGTTACACAAGGTGTAACCATACTTAAGGCGGCATGACCATTACACCAAGCGTAACCATACTTAAGGTGGCATGACCATTACACCAAGCATTACTGTTACATCAAGCTAAACATGAGTTACTAACCCCTTGACACCTTGGCTAACATGAGGCTCTACAAAGGACCTGATGAGATTACAAAAGTCTAAACTGACACCAACCTACTTCTTGCATTGATGATGTTATGAGGCTACATTTCAGGTATACCATGGCTAGGGAGGGAGTCCAATTGTCAACACTTGTGGAAGAGAGCTAATTTTGTTGGGGTAGGGGCTAAATGATCCAGTGATCTCCCCAGCATTAAAGCAAGTGGGTGCAGCACCCACCTGAGATTCTAAAAATAGGATTGCACCCACTTGAAAATCCATTTGCACTCACTTGAAAATGAGAAAAATCATGAAAAATTGCCATTGGCACAATTTGACCAATTTTGGTCTGAATTGTGAAAATGAGAATTTGTTTTTCCGCAACTTTGTTGAACCGCAATTGTCAACAGCTAGACACCATCCCTTATGATTAATGACAACATTAGGGTGGACTTTCATGAAATCAATGATGCATAAAAAATATAACCCTTTGACAAATGTTAATAATAATTATAACTCATTTACTTCATCGTGACAGTTCATTTTCCAACTTTTGAACAAAATATTAAGCATACCATACTTTTGAGCAAATGAGAAACATAAGTAAGTCAAGAAAAACCTACATTCTAATACACCTCCACAAATAGAGCACAATAAGTTCATAATAGTTTATATTATTTGGCAAAGTTGTTCATTCTTCTTGCTGGTTTATATGGTCTCACTGCATTTTGTTTCATATCACATTGTTCTAGAACAGCTCAATAGATGGCATCTGCATAGTTCTCCAAAGAGGCCCTCTTGGGGATTCTCGAAATTGTCTCTTTCCCAAAAATGGCCTCCCAGGATGATACTTTTACTGAAAGATTGTTATTATAGTCTTAGCTGCCGTCGTTGATGTTGAAGTATTCTATATGCTACTGCAGCCACCAGTGCTGCCCCCTTTCCACTGCCATCATTTGACATCATTAACTTGAACTAAAACAAACAAAACAACATTTATAATAGAAATCAAACCAAACAATATTCATCATTTAATGCATTGACTCTTAGTCTCGAAAAGATGATTCATTAGTGGAAAATAAACTTTTGTGAATACTACATGTAAAATACATCTAAATCATTCATGTGGGAACTAACTGATTTACTACAGAATTTCAATCTAGAATACACAATGAGGGAGATGAATGTTAATTCGTAGATGGCAACACCAGTTTGTACATGCTAGCTTGACTCACAATTTACTTGTTTTTTATTACTACAATATTTCATTTTTTCTAAGAGCAAAATGTCCATGTTTTTCAAAACAAAAAAATGTTGCTAACAACCTAGTTGGTTGCTACCTGCCTATGCTGCCATCTATGTGATTCACCAAACCCATTAATGTTCTAAATAACGTTACTACACTAAATAATACATGCAAAACCAATGTTTGTCCATAAGAAGCAAATAAACAATAATGCACCAAAACTGCAATAGCATAGCAGCATCTTTACATACATGCATGTGGATTAAAGGGTTGATATCAAAGCTATACAAGCCACTAACATGCAAGATGTCACCACCTGCCATTTGTTACAGATGTCAAACGCTGTCACAAAAAAGTTGGAGACCACAACAATATGTCACAACTTTTGGTGGTGACATAACAAGTACTAAATACAGTACTCTAAAATATAAGCAACTATTTGGAATCCGCAGCCTTAGGATTAAGTATGAATAGTAATATTAGCCAGCAGCTTGGCAGAATATAATGCCAAGAAGAGACACCTTAAAATAAAAGTACATGTATGCCAAATATCCCATATAAAGCCAAAGTATTAAGTATAGAAATTATATGAGCCACATGTGCCGCAGATAGACAGAATGCTAAAATACAGAGTAAGCTGTAGATATTAGTGGAAGCTGTAGACAGTAGGATAAGCTGTAGATAGAAGGGTAAGCTGTGGATAGAAGGATAAGCTGTAGATAGAAGGATAAGCTGTAGATAGAAGGGTACGCTGTAGATAGAAGGATAAGCTGTAGATAGAAGGGTAAGCTGTAGATAGAAGGGTAAGCTGTAGATAGAAGGGTAAGCTGTAGATAGAAGGATAAGCTGTAGATAGAAGGGTAAGCTGTAGATAGAAGGATAAGCTGTAGATAGAAGGGTAAGCTGTAGATAGAATGGTAAGCTGTAGATAGAAGAATAAGCTGTAGATAGAAGGATAAGCTGTAGGTAGAAGGGTAAGCTGTAGATAGAAGGTTAAGCTGTAAATATTAGGGTTAAATGAAGTTAAAAAAGGATTTTTGAGATCTTTAAGTCTTGCATTAGGTCCTGTTTTCCCTCTCCCAAATGGCTCTTTAACAAAATAATGTAGATAGTGTCGATGGAGGGTTGACTTGAGACTTAATGCAAGACTTATGATAGAACATATAGATATCATGCTGGTTATGTGGATTAAAGAATTTATGGTTTCCATAAAAATTAGTTGATTTTTGTTTATGATGATGTAAATGTTAGATTCAAACTGGAAACCCTCACAGGACTAATATGCTAGTATCATGATTTGCATATGTTAAATAAGATGCAGCGTCATGTCATTTTCCCCTTTCTATGTATAGAAATTAAAATGTTTAATAGAAAAGAAACCCACAACAACCAAGGCATCGAATGAAAGGAAAAAACAGCTAGGTTGATGTTAGTTCAGAAAAGGATGAAAGTAGGCACCTGTTAAGAGTCTGATACAATGACGTCATTCTTGAAATGAATTCCTGCGACAGCAGCTGCTACCATGGCAGCGCCCCTGCCACTCCCATCATGGGATACCATTAATTTAAACTAGAAATACATACATGCTCAAAATCAATATAAGACAATGGTTTTAAACAATATATTGTGTATCACTTTATGTGAAAGGGAAGGATCTAATGCGATGATGTCAGAGCAGAAATATGCTGATAAAGAAATGTATTCTCTAAATGCAGGGCTTAAGACATCATCGATACAATTAAGTATGATGTCCACACAAGGATGAGGTCGATGGAAGTATGATGTCCACACAAAAATGAGGTCAATGAAAATATGATGTCCATACAAGGATGAGGTCAATGAAAGTTTGAGGTACATACAAGTAATGTTTATACAAATCTGAGGTCAGGATCAAATGAGATTCACACAATTATGAGGCCACACAGAACTGAGGTTCATAAAAGTACAAGGTCAAAACAAATTTAAGGGCCACACAAGAGTGAGGGCCACCTAAGTTATTTTCTTGTGGACTAAGTCTGGAGCCCTGCATTTGGACAAAGAAATACGAAATTCAAATTCATCAGCTTAATATCTCCTCAAAAGTCATTGTATTATAAACAATATTTCCTCAATGTCATAGGTACAATTTGACACAAAGTGCAAGGAAAACAATAAATTGATAAGTGCTTGGCCTCTGAACCAGTCATACAACAGTCAAGTGGGACCAAATGGTAAATGGTGTAGTTTCACAAACTGGAAAGTCAACATATGAATTTTTAAAACATTTCTGTAAAACATCAAAAGACAAATTAGACAAAGTAATTGTGAACAAGTTGTTTGTGTTTGGACAACATTTATCAGAACAGACACAAGAGAACTTGAGAAAAACACAAACTAAAGTGATTTTAAGAACACTGAAAATATATACTCGTTTTTGACACACTTGAAGCAGTTTACTAAATATACAGGTGCATGGCATAATTGAATCAATCATATCTGAAAGTGAAAGCTTCGTGCTTTAGCAAACTTTTGATGCAATACAAATGGACAGTATCTAAACAAATCAACTAAAAGAATCATCTTAATATGTATGTACATGTATATGCATTAAGTATACATGGATTATACTAAAAGGATTGCAGTTCAAGACATGAAAATGAATAAAATCTCATAGTTGCATAAGGTATAAAAGCTGATCAAGCTAAAATGGCAGACACCATTTTGTTTATTTAAAAATATAAACTTTGCAATTGTAATATATATGTCATGCATCAACTTTTATACTTGGCAAAATAATGACTTTTTACTTATTCAGCACATTTTGATGGAACTAATAGTACACATAAAACATATAAAGCATGTTGTGTATTGTTCAATGAGAATTTACTTATAAGTCATATACACATGTTGGCGAAATGTAAAATGTTTCTGCAGATAATTCTTTTTTTCTTACTTAAATTCAAATAAATGTAACTGCTCTTTGAAATTCTTGACCATGAACAATACATCAACACTTCTTCATATTCTGACTTCATCAAAATGTGAAAAAAACACAATCTAAAACTATCTGAGAAAATGCAAGGGAAGTGCCTACCTTAATTCCTGGATTGACTAGTGTTGAGATTTTGTCTACCATTCTATCATGGAACTTCGGGTGGAACTTATATAGGGAACCATCAACAGCCACTGTGATCTCTGGCTTGCTGATCTTATTCAGTAATACTGCAATACCTGGAGCACACAATTGTTTCATACAATACCTTATAAGGCAAATATTTCACACCTGATGCTGTTGGCATTTAAGTGAATAAAGTGCAGCTGTACAATCTGAGTGCAGCTGTACAATCTGACTACAGCTGCACAAGATAAATAGCTGTGACATTACAGGTTTATTTTATTCAAAAAACACAAACAAAACAGCAACTCATATTTAAATCAGATTAAGTATACCCTCATTCTTAAAACAACAATTTTAATTTTATTCCTTTTAAGGCATTTTTCAAAAAGAAATTGCCATTAAAATCTCCTTCAAATTACCAAGGGGCTCACCTTTATTTCAAACACAATATGTTTATTATCGAATAACTGACCTGCTGAGGCGAGATATGCCGCCCTGGTTGACACTTGTTCACATACATATCGCACATTTCTACAGTCCTCTATAGTAAATGTTTCAATTCCCATCTCTTCCAATACCTGCTTGGTATTTCTGAATTCATCTTCATCATCACTATAAACATAGACATTGACTGAGTTGTTACAATTAGCAAAGAAGCTTGTATTTTCATGTATAGTCTAAGTATTGATAAACGTACAGTAATTTCCCATGCTGAGAATATTTTATAAAGTAATAGAACAAGTGTATTGGGAGAGTCCACATTACAGATCTTAGAAAAAACTAAATAATATGTGTAATCAAGCACATGAATATTTAGTCATAATCATAAAATATTAAGGCTTTGTACTGTCACCAATACTTTCAATATTAGCAGATAATAGACTGAGAAAATACCTTTCTATTTCAGATATGTATTTAGTGTAGAATCTTTGCCTAGTTTCTAACTCTTCTGAGACTTCACCCCCAAACATGAGGCCCTCTTGGGTGAGCTTCAGTATGACCAATCGGGCTATCTCACCCATGTACATACCAGATATCATCTTCTCATACCTAAAGGGATAAAGGGAACATATGTACAATACATTTAGGTAAATAAAAATTATATAAAGTTTTCATTTTAGATAATGCATTTAAGGTACTGAGAAGGATAAACACTTTAAATGATACATTTTCAGTTATGAGAAATTATGACATGGTCTTTGACCAGATGTATTTTATATCAAATATGATAATGAATGGGAGGCTTCTTACAATTAGAGTATATGAGAGCCTCTCGATGTAAATGGCTATGTTGATTAATACACTTTTTATAATTTCAATGTTTGATACGTACACTTGCTTTCCACCATTTAATGAAAATTCATCAACTTCTTTATCATAAGGTGTTCTGAACCAATCTAGACATTTGTTATCACCAAATGCTCCCCATTCTGTGTTGATAATCACCTATGAAGAAACAAAATAAATCAAAATACGGAATAATGATGGGTAATGGTATTAATTAAGGGTGAGAGAGAGACAACAACCCGATGAGTCGAACATAATAGATTAGTTTCTTAGTTTGTACATAGACTAATGTGTCATGCTTTGACACTTTTGTCAATAAAAGAAATATATAAAAGAAATATATGAATACCCATGGATTGTAGGCTTCTGGTTGACAGAAATTGGTTCCTGAGTTGATGTATAGAATCAATTTTTGATCTACATGTATATACTGAATAATGAACGGTATATGGTATCTAAATAAAGTCAATATAGAAGTGGTTTGTGAAGGCATGTACAAATAACAAGACCATTTTTTCTTACTTGTTTGGGTTCTTTGTCATCACCATCCCAGAGTTCGACATTGTCCAACTTCTCCATGTAACATGCATTTGTGCCTGTTCCTAGAATGTATGTACAAAACACAATGAACCTGTTGAATGCCAAAGTATCTTTTATTTTTGCTAATTTTTGCAGTGTCACGCTCTTAATAGAAAATGGAAAAATGGACCAGTCATATACCTTTATAACAGATAAAGTTTTATCTAAAATAAATAATTTGACTACTTTTTTCTAATTTAGGGTTGTTCACAAAGGTCAACACTGCTAACTGACCTTTATTAGACTAATTGAACATTTTGTATAAAAATACTTACCAAGAATCAGGCCTATTTCACAATTGTGATCGTCATGTGCACAAGACATGAGCGTTCCCACTGTGTCGTTCAGGATTGCCACACAAGTAATGTCGATATCCTATAGTTAAAGAAAGTAATTATATATATGTATGTGCAAACTATAAAGTAAAAGAACAGATAACTGGTCAATATATGCGAAAAAATGTGTAATATTAAATTTAACTCATCCAATTATGTTACTAAGACATCTTAACTGAAATACTAGCCAATGATGCCATCTATAATCTATGCATTTCCATCAATTCTTTCACAATCTTACTAATCAATAAAATGATTTCATGGCTGAATTTCGCAATATCAACCCAGACATGTAAATGCCATTCACAGTCACGTTCATACATATTTGAATCAGACTGTTGAATTAGAGTCTGAAATCTGATATGAAAAAATGTGTTTGCCCCGAGCACATGATTTAATAGACAATTCATGGTTACCTTCCGCCGTTTTACAGCCTCATGAAACATTCTTACGACATCTTCCCCTTCAACCCCAGCACACTTGAAACCTTTTGTCCAGGTTTGTAGGCTGGCAGAGGCGATACCATGCTGCTTACAGGGGAATGAAAATGTAAAGCCCAGAGGGAGCGAGAGATGTGAGATGGCATGAGCTTTCATGAACTTAGCGCAACAGTCAGCCAGGTGATCAAATAGCTGAAAAACAATATAGAAACACATGTTATGGGAAGGTGAAAAATTGAAGTGAATTTTCCTATTGTGACAATGTAATCAAGGTGTGATATGTGAAATAATTATTTTTAACTTTCAAAGATATATTATATCAGTTCAAGCATGTTGTCAAAGTTATATGTCTGGTTTGGGCTCATAAAGTGTACCTATAAAATAGTAGTAAAACCACATTCCTATAGTAAATGAATTATGAACTTAAAGTACATAAGATTCATTATGTCTGCTCAACTCAAGCTACCCGTTCGCAATAAAACATATATTCTGGAGCAAAGTTACAAGCTGAACGTAGGCATTTCACACCCATTCCTATATAATAACCTTTGCATTATGAAACATGGCTACTGAACTGTATATTTATGGAATGACCTTCAATGTTTGCACAACCCAGACATTATTGTTTAGCTAAAACCTGGCCAAAGTATTTCATTAGAAGGTCAGTTCACTTCCTGTAACGTCCTACAGACAAGGACGAGGTTTCTATTGGTTGAAAAAAAACACACCCAGAAGCACGCTCCAGGTAATTTACAAATAACACCTCAAATATACACATCAAAGCATTTCTTTGGCTGTTGATGTGAAACATTAAAACTCACATTTTTCTTGTAAGATTCTATTTCAGTAGGTGAATCAAACCACCTTTTAACTTAGACACAGTTTCTTTGCAAGGTCATTGTCTGGGTGGGATACTGGGGAATTTTTCCTTATAACCGATTGCACTCTTAATTGTTGTTTTCGATATATTTTGAATACATGTTAGTCTGCCATTTGTTAGATGCTAACCACCGAATGCTAAACACCAACTGCGTGACACCGAAGACCATCCACAAAAAATTGGGGACTATATCAATATGTTACTACTTGTGGTGGTAAAAAATGCATAACATACCTGATTCCCAGAACCCTGCATTATGTATTGAGGTATAAGGTATATTTTACTCTCCATCTTGACCTCTCCCCCGTGTAGTGTGATGAGAAGTACACGAAAGTTAGTGCCTCCCAGATCCAGAGCTAAGAAGTTACCCTCCTCTGAAAAATACATAAAATGCTTGTTATTATGTTTATTAGGACTCTTGCTTTAAACCCTTGTGATCCCCTACCCAGTGTTTTCAGTAGGCTTGTCCAAAATTGCGTCCCTTGGACGTAATGATTTTCAAAAAATGCGTCTCCCTTCAAAAAACTGCGTCCCTTGAAAAAATGTTCCCGGGAATTCAAAAGTCACGTTTTTACACTGGATGAAATAAATTGATGAAATTTTGTACCACTGCTTTTGCTATTAATCGGTCTGAATCAGCGTTCTTGCAAGTCTAGTATGTCATTGAATGATACAGATACCATCATAACTTATATTCTCCCATTTAAAACACCTTTTCCTTGCGAATTTCGAAACAATTTGCTATTGATTTTGCTTTAGCATGTTTAGTTTAGGGGCAATCTGCGCGAGGTTCAACTTTTTAGTTCAGTTTCTTGCGCATATGCAGTCTCAAATAATGATCACGTGATCACACTTGACCAATTGAAAATGGTTTGAATCAGGTCTTAAGCTACCGGCCAATCGTAGGACTCATACTGATTACTGCTCGGAAATCGAGTATTGTATAAATTTTTGTCCTATCACATGCCTCGTACTATTTCGATCAGAAATCAACTTCCGGGAAGGAAATTTCGAAAGAAAATTTTATTTCTTTTAGAAATAGAATTTTCTTCAATTATTTATTGGATTCTGACGAAATAAAGAGACTGAAGGTAAGATCTTTATCAAATCATTCATCCAAAGTTGATTGTATGAGTATGGCTTGCACTGCGTCCACAAAACGCAATCACTTTTTATTTCCGGGTCCATGGATTTTTCATTACGTTTTTGCAATACTTGGACGGCGTTATTGAAATAGCAGCTACCCTATATACCTAGCCTACATAAACAATCTGGAATATGGGAAAGTATGGTTCAGAAACTTGATGTTCAATCTAGGTTACTGGTTGTACCTATATTTGTTGCATATAATTGGATAACAGATCAAAAATCTGTTTATTAAATGGTCTCAAATCAATCAAAATGTGGACACTTATAAAGGGAGCAATTCATCAATAATTTACATGAGGATGTTAGGTTGGGGGAAGGGGAGGGGGGGGGGTAGATAAATGTTATTTTTGTTCAAGAATAAGAAAGACAAGGAGGGTATGGAAGATATTGAACCCAACATTCACATTGAACTTAACATTTACTTGAAAGTAATTAACCTTTAAATTAAGAAGTTTCCGTGACTCACTGGTAGGTCTTCTACCTCTAAGTGTCTGACTTCTCAGTAACTAAGAAGGAAGGAATTTGTGAGGAAATTCGGTTTAAACACATTAAACATTGTTGCTTTACGTCTGATGGTCTGATGTGCTATCTGGCAGTCGCTATGCTCATTTAGCTGACATGAACTTGCAAAGCATTTCTGAAGGTCTACGGCCTCATTAAGTATTTCTTTGGAGGTAACTAGCTGTCTAGCAAGGGTAGGAGGTGTGTCCATGTCATAAATTTCAGTAAGAGCTAGAATCACCTTGATCTTCTCTTTAAACTTGGACATTTGCATATTCATTTGCTTTTTTAAGGTCAAGAACTTGACATACCTTCCGATATATTTGTATTAGATATGAAGTTATAGTTAAATCACAGGTGATAGATTAAACTGATGACCTATCTGAAAATTTAAAGGGAATGACACTGACTGTATTATATCTACACACCATGGCCAAAAGATTTTGAAAACAATATATTGTATGGTTAAATATATGTATATATAGCTATTGTATGAGGCATGATCAAACAAGATGCACATATCGAATAACATCTAAATAAAGTCTAAATCTTTCAAAACAACTAGACAATGAACAAGTAAGTGCAGTTTATGATGAATCTAGACATGTTGATTCTTATGCCAAACCAAACAAACAAATGGCATCAATTAACCTAGATTATCCTTCATTCATATACAATATTAACAATAATGAATGAATCTGTTATGAAACTCTAGATGAAGAATCCCAGTAATACTAGCGGAAATGGATTAAATTAAGTATTCAGGCCATGACAAGATTTCACGATGTCTCACAAACATCTGCTGAATTCAGGAAAGAAAGTGAAAATAATTTTAAGTATAATTGAAAAAGCATGTATTACTCAGTTAAATGGCATAGTTTTATGTATTTTCAAAGAATTCTAAACCACAAAAATGTTATTTTGAACCTCTGGGACGACTGTTCTGGTCAGGCTAACCTTCTTAATCACCAAATATTCATTTTCCCAGAAAAATCGATCATGACTTGGTTTCTAAAAGGCTCCAAGTAAATTGCAGCTTTAGAGAAATCAAGAATTTGGGAAGATGCCAATGAAGATAAAGGCGGAGAAGTATTTATCCTGTTTTCATAGTATTGTACATCATTATCAATGGCTATCTATTTAACTCCACTTTTTTCATATTTGCTGTGTACGAATAAAATAAATTGCAAACATAATATAGTATGCTCTCAATTCCACGTAGTGGCACGAATGTATCTATCTGATATATCACGGCTGCGGAGGTAGGCTATTAAACCTCCCATTTGTCACATTTACAATTGAACTCTGCTTGAAACAGCCGCGACAAAAAAACGCAGCATTTTTGTTATATTTGACCTAACAGACCTTAAAAACACCCTGAGTTCAAAAATTGAAAATATTTCATTGAAAAAAGGCTTTATTGTTTGGAAGGTTTAATAAATAAGTTTATCGCCCACTTCATTTACATTCACAATTGTCTAGCTAGTCATGAATAAATTACCATCACTAGACAGTTTATGGCACGTATAAAATGCTTTACGCGTCTTTTCTTGTTTAAAATTACAATTCTAAAACAATGTAATGTACAAATATAAGATCTCAGAGATCAACATTTATTTCATCTAATAAAATAAAATTGAAGTACCCATTTGAACCATAAATTCTTTATGAAACACATTTTCATAATGTCGAGGTTCAAGATGTAATGTGTATCAATCAAAGTACAAAATAAATCTAATATTATTCAACAAAGCTAAAATTATATCAGGAAACGTTATGTAAGCTGACATTCCTTCAACTTAATTACATAGATGACTCATTTAATTAGCAAACCCAAATAACTGTAATTAATATGTACCTGAACCATCTGGCAATGAGCGGACATATGTAGGGAACATTTTTATGGTAGCGGCGGCATTTGTTTCCTTCCCAAGCCCTTTGTCCATTTCATGCTCAAGGAGATTCATTATCCGTTTGTACCCGTCATTGTCGATCTCAAAGTCTTCACAGTAGCCTCGTATTTTATTTCGTATCTGAAAACACAACATTTAACATTTTTATGGAATCTTGATTTTGCATACAAAATGCTCACATAGAGAGTATTAAAAGCATTCAAATAATTTCATGTATTTGAGAATTGATTCTCAACTTTAAACATTAAGAAGTCAAGAGCCATGGTTCAGTTTTAATATGAAAATCTCCATTCATATTTGAGAATTAAGTTCACATTGTCAAGCATATAGCTAAACAAACATACATATAAATAAGAATTCTCCAATTTCTTTTTTAATCGTTGCATTATTTGTAATAATTAGTTCAAAAAACTAATTAATCGTCAGCATAAACTGTATCTCCAGAAAAAGTTTCCAATCGAAATATACCTTTATATACCACAAGCACAATTGACTTTTGACCATGATGCAATCTAACCAATAACAAAAACATATACTTTAAACTTGTTTAAAGGTTAAAGTTATATTTGAGTTTAAAGTCTTATTTGTTTTCCTAAATTACGATATTACAAAGTTCAGAAATGAATCAATATCGATGCACTGAATGACTGACTCTTCATCCGTTCAAAACATTACTAAGAAACATGGAAAATGTCATGAATATCATCAACTGAATGATGAAATATAAACAGTGATTTTATTTTCAACTACGTGATCCTCCACAGGTAATCCATCTATTATGATAAATGGTTGTTTCCACCCATTCTCTCGTTTGAAGCAATTTGATGGATGAGATCTGTGACCCTAATATGTTAAATAGAATTTAAAATCGTATGTCTCAAGCAGCTACATACTTAACCCTACCCATTATTTTCTTATCCCAACAGTCCTTTATCAACTGGCTTTCACAAACTTAGAATTAAAAAAAGAATCGAGACAATTAAGACGGTCGCCAGACATGACCAAAACCAGGTATTATGAGAATTCCTTTACTTATTTTTACCATTCTGTTTAAGCCAAAATTAATAAACATATTCTGACATAGTATATTTGTCCCATATATTATCAGGTAGAATTTACTCAAATGTAACATAATGTTAAACTAACCTCAATATGCAACATGCCCATGTTTATAAGGGATAGGGTCGATTTGTCAACAAAATTGAAAAAACAGAAAATTTCAATATGATTCTACACTCTCCCTCTTGATCTCATATAATGACATTTGAAAAAGTTAATTTGGCTGACACTTAATTTCTTAATTGTCATTTACTAACAAAATCAACCTTGGTTTCTACATCTGTTGACAAGTAGACACCATCCCTAATGCAGTTGTTAATGATAAACCTGTCCTACATATAGGGGCAAGTTAAGTAGACACTTGTGATAATATGTCATTACTGGCCATTAAATAAATAAAAAATAAAAATATAATAGGCATTACCCCCTGTCTTCCATTGAACTTTCCTTCGCTCCATTCTGGAGCCTGTATCTTGGTCCTCATAAATATATATTATTTGATTTCCACGGGATAAATAATCCTCAATTCTTCCCTTTCAAATTGTTCTTTTAAACGTATGTCCTAACAATTCTTGTGTATCTACTGTTATAAGATCCTTACAGGGAAGTTCAAAAATTGTATGATATCATCATAATATCTACGTGCAGTATATATTTTATTAATATTTTCCTAGATATTTAGTCCAAATACTCTTTATCTGTTAATCCTTATGTTCTGTTCTTATTTTGATTTTATGTTTATAAATACTGTACTTAGAATTCCTCTGTTGATATGACTTCCACAAGGAAACTGGGTGTGTGACTTAACTGGCTGCGATTGGTTATTCCCTTTTGACAACAAATGAATGATACATATATTAGCCTATATAACGAGTTCATAGGGACCTGGCAAGGTGCCAACAAGTTATGAAATTGATGAAATGATGTCACACAGTCTGGTATTATAATATTCAGTAACGACTGGAATTAAAATCTACATACAAAGACACTCTTGGTTGTCTGATGTGTAATTGCAAGAGAAAGACTGTGATATTGACTTGCAAAAAATAAATCAAAGATACATGTACTAATAAACTTCCAATACTAGCTGTTCTCTTCCTCGTATCTTTCTATTTAGAATTGTTATCGTGTTGCCTATCTATATAGAGATGCTTGGGAAACAGTTACGTCAAGATTAGCAACAGGTATGTACTAAATAACGGATTTCACAATATCATCAAGGGGTTGTCTCATATTCTCAAATGATTGTTTACCTATGTGCAATATGCTAAATATGTTTTCAATCTGAAGGGTATAGAAATTGGTGAGATGATCCCTTGAGCCAGAAACTAGAATAAAGCAGACTTTACTGATTTAGTCAGCCATATAACATCAAAAAGCTAAATATTCCCGACCTCTGACGTACTCAAGGGTAAATCATTCTAGAAGACTGGGTGCATAGACATTAACATTCAAGATCAACATTTCCTTTAAAGTGGATACAGCGGAACACATGACTGTAGAAACATACAGTTATTGGAAGTAATTTAACATGAAGAATGGGGGCGAATGGTGTTTTATTTTACTAAGAAATACTGGATGTTTCAGCAGAAGTTGAAGTTGAAGTTGGTTTTGGTTTTTGTGAGGTAGTCAGATGCCAAAGTTGATGAAATAACTATATCCCATCTTCTGAAGGGGTAATGTTTATATTTACAATACAATTCCTGTTTATATTTACAATACTTTTTTTTCCATTGATATATCAATACAATTTCTCAATATTGCTATTTTTGAAGGAGGTTCAAAAAGAGTTCATGAACATTGCTTTCGTCATATCAGTGAGATTATCATGACCTATGCATACTAAGAGCCGATATGTAATATGTCAACTATAAATAGTTGATCAAACAAAATATATCAACCAAAACGAAGAAACTACTTTGCTATATGTCACTCATAAGTTAAATTCAACATATTTTTGAGTATTATTTCCAAGAAGATCTAACTGCTTCTACTCACAGAGTTCTCATTTTGCCTATTTTGACAATGAACTAACCGGGTCTTCATTTCTAAGTAGGTGTTGGAATACTATAGCTGCAATTTTGGTGAGATCAATATATGGAAATATATTGGAATATAGGAAAAATACTTGCACGTTTTTTCATTCGTACTACCTAACCTCACATGATGCTTCTGAACAATAACTGACATAAATCCGATAAATATAATTTGCTGCATCATCATCAGAATGGCAATCAATATGTGAGTTTCACGAGTAAGTTAAGTACATCTGAAAATGACGTTTAATCTAAATACTCTCTCTATCTCAGTAATCTGAAAATAATAAACAATATCATGATTTGATCAGGGGCACTTGACGGGGTTAATGAAAGCGCAGTGCTGGGAACATTAATATCTCCATTTTTATCTATTCTAACTTTAAAATTTACCACAAGTATGCATGAGGGAGGCGTGGAGACTAAAGAAGCAATTTGATTGGCCGCAGCTGCCGTTCTTAATTACGAAACAAACCGCATCCTATCATCCCTTGATTAAAACTAGAATAAACCACACCATCAAAAAAATACAGACAGACACTTTTTGAATTTAGAACAGTTAAAGTTAGATGAAGAGGACCCAGAGGGCGATAGTGTTTAGCTATCACTGTATCATTTTAAGAATTGGCAAAAACTTGGCATCAATTCATAAATTAACTATTTTAGTCTAACAGTTAAACAATGTGAAATACCTGGCATCTTAGGTAAAAAATGTTACTCCTATCAAGTTTCATTACATTTTAGTTACAGCCAACTAGTAATAAAAATCCAAACCACTCACGTCTAAAACCTACTGTATAAAAAAAGTAAATCAACTCATATTCAAGTTGGTAACAATATCATCATGTTAACAATAACATGTACCGGTATCTGTCTGACAGGAAATGGATTTGTTTTCATTTTCATACTTGATTTCACACTGAAAACTTAATTTGAACAACCACCAATGTAAGTTGAAAATAAATAAAATGTTTAACATATCCTCAGTCATCTTTTCCAAACTACAGAAAAAAGAAGTTGAAGTGGCTTTTATGGAAAAAATATCACTATCCTCAAATTAAATTGTGTTTTATTATCAAAAGTTATGTAAATTTTGATACACCATCATTTAATTTCAAATAAAATAGTTAAACATAATATATAATTGCTCTAGCCTAACTATAGTATTTTTAGATGGCTGGACGATTGAAATATCACAAAAAGGATAGGGTGTGCTGCAACTGACCAATTAGAGACTTGCGGTTTATGGCAGCTTATTCATTAGTCTGGCGGTGTTCCACAAATTTAGACCTGACTTTGTGATATTCAGTATACTTGTTCCTTAGTTGTACACTTGTAGTGCAAGCTTATATTTTTTAAGATGTGTAGATTATCTGTTTTCAATATTTTCTATATTGTGCTAACCTTTACCTGAAATCACCTATTGCTGTATTAGGGGCCATACCATAAAATCTATATGGGACATAACAGATCTTTTAAAAAATCATTTTGTCTTGAATAGTATATATAGGTTTGTTACTACAAGAGAATTGATAATGTCTGGCAGTTTTTCCCTACTGAAATATCTGTTCAATAATAATTTGGGATTTTACTGGGAGAAAAATTCAGGCTCTTGTATTTAAATGAAAACTCACTCCTTGTTCCGTATAGACTGAATCTTTTTAGGATTCTCCAAGATCAAATGGTTCACCTTTTTGAGGCTAGCGATTGGTATCTTCATAGGGCATGAGATTCCCATTTCGTTTACTTATGTAGCACGATTTGCATCTAACAAATATCGAAAATATATCAAAATTTACTTAAGTATAAAGGATCTTTCATTTTCCTTAAATCTATTAAAATCAGTGATTCTGTTCTTCCTGAAATTGTAATAGAGCCCTTCTTTATGCAGACAGACACAGCCCTTGCAAATCAAAACTTTGATGAGGGTTCAGCGACAGGATGTTGGGATGATGAAATCAACCACAAGTATTTGGGTGAAGAGAACAATAAATACACTGTACTGCTTGTACAATGCATCTTGAA